AAACAAATGTTAGAACTTGACAAAAATAAAAGCAGAGATCGTATTATAGGATATTACGTCAAGAGCAGGCTGAGATAAATGGTAAAAAAACAAGAAAGCTATATTATTAGGCCGAATAAAGAACTGATGTTGAGTGACTCAAAACAGGGTATATTTTCAGGCTGAGCAGTAGTGTAGCCAAGGCGCCTTGGAAGCTATAATCGTACAATTAGCATATATAAATCGTAGATATGAAGACCAAGATTGTATGACCTTCTGTTTGGTCGCAGTCTTCTTTAGATTTGTAGTATCGGTTGGACCTTATTTGCGAAATTTGGTCGGAGTGTCAGTGATACCTTCTGAAACGTACCCATTCCTGTGTCTTCTGCTGTGATCTTCAGCATCGAACCATTGGCTTGATACATTCCCAAACGTTTCGCCTGCATCATCAGTGAGAGGTGCCATCGTTAGGATATAGTTATATCTTATCAATGACAAGTGAAGGTCATTGACCAATTTTATGTTTAGCCGTTGATAAATTGATGTGTTGATGACGGGACGACGATGCTGGCGAAACGTTTGGGAATGTACCAAGTCAATATCCCGATGCTGGAAACCACAGATATCATGGCAGAGGACACAAGAATAGGTACGTTTCACAAGGTCTCCTTGAAATTCCGACCAAGTTACGAAAGCGAGGTCGAACCAACACTAAAATATATAAAGTTTATCAGAGCTTTAGATACAGTAAAGCCACATTAAAAGAGAAGAAAACATTTATGAGATAGAGAAATGAAAACAGATTCCTGTGATGGATTAGAATTAATTTTTGTCTTAAGGACACTTCGGCCACACTCAACGATCATTCTAAAATACACTCAATTTGAAATTAGCATGAAACATCCGAGTGAGAGTAATTCCGAAATTGTACTATTTGAATTCACTTGTCTGCAAAATATGGTTCTGGTGATGATTCGGTCTTTAAACTAGATAAAATGGTTCAAAATATACTTCTCTGACGGCTCAAGTGAGGTTATATGAAAGGTTAGCGAGATTTGAGTGCCCCAATTTAATACATTTCATCGAGGCCAGAATAAGATAGAATTATAATTATTAAAAACATTTGCCCTGGATACATTACATGTTAATAATATATATCCCTGACGCTAGAATAAATCATATCGAATCTAGGGGCTCAAATTTTCGATGGAATCTGGGCTGATTAAGAATAGAAAGTTATTGCTATTGCACAAAAGTTCGGGCGAAACAGCTAGCAAGTTATGGCAGAAAGGAATGACAACTATCATTTAAATAACAACATTCATAGAGGTATTAAAATCATATATATACAACAAAGATGCAAAAGAATCGGTTAAGAGTTGGCAACCGAAAGGAAATGAAGGATTTCAGGTGCAACTTCATGATGAAATAAATTTAAATCAGAAAGCCCTGATTTTAAAGCATGAATAAAGCTCAAAAGTGCCCACTTTTTAAAATTGAAAACCGATAAAAAAGACGATTAATGATGAATGAGGAGCATAATGTATAAAAAGAATCCTCCTGATATGTGATTTCGTTTAGGCTGGTAGAAAAGTAGGACAAGGCGGTACCTGTATTTATGGATATACAGAGTAGAGCCTCTGATCAAACTTTCTATCATTAAATGAGACTATGTGCAGAATAATTTGACTATTTATTTCTAAACGAAGTAATCGCAGATCATATATATCGGAAACAGGGGAGAGGATAATTTAAACAAGAGACTTCAAGTAGTTTCCTTTAAAAACATAACTAAATGATTAAATGAAAACGAAATGTGTAAAAAAATCAGTATAACGGATAGTCTTCAAAAAATATGAAAGTTAAGAGAAAGCCTGTAAATAAAGCATATTTGTGTTACTTGTGTTGATAAAGGAGGAAGAGTTCAAAAAAATTTATTTTTAAATACTAATTCTTGTTGAGTTCTCTTCGACTTTAGATGAAAGTGTCCGAACGTCGATTCCAAAGGACGTCGGTAGACTTTTCGTTGCTAGCTGAATCTTGGTTTCAATCAAAAATCTTGGTTGTATTAGAAGTAAATTTAAAGAGTGTAAATCAAGACATTCCCCGAAATGGAACTTTTCCTCTAATAGTTTAAATAGCCTCGTCCAAATCATGCAGAAAGCCTGATTAGTACAAATAAATAAAAAAACATTCTTTGGTTAAGTGCAAAAGATAGCCACCCACCCTTGTCACATTAGTCGCTTCAGTGCTCCTTAACTGCTTCTGTAGTCCACCCAATTCAGTTTCTAACGAATAGAAGAATTGGTCCATAGTGTCTCTTTCATAAGGGCGTTTTAAATGACGTGGCAACCAGTCAGCCTGCTGCGAAGTAGAGCAGGCCGACTCTTCAGACTCTTCACCATATACATCTTGTTCTTCAGGTCTTAATTCATTCACTCGATGTCTATCCTCCTCTTCATTCCCGTATTCAAAGTGTGCTTTGCCAATATAGCTTTCTCTCGGATATACTCGGACGCCAGATACATGCCATGACCGGTCTTGCTGTAAGGAATCCGCGGATCGGCCTCGGCATCGAGGCCGGACTCCGTGAGAAAGCAGACCGGATCCCTGACGTTTGGGATGACCCGAAGAATTGGCTGGCATTTGTCTTAATGAAGTTGAGAGATGAGGAGGGTCGAGAGGTGGTTCATCTAGTGTG